GATAAAAAATGCAATGGCCCATTAGCGGGCCGCACAATATATTACTCGGAAAAATATAGAATTCTTCAAATATTAAATAGATATCAATACACATACAAATATAAAGCCGAATAGAATACTACCATTGAATGTACAGTAATACTTGTACTATGTGCGACAGAAAGAACAGTGTTCTGAATATTTGAAGCTATTACTAAAATACGGTCAGATAGATTGGGATTTGGAATACCGAATACGTCTAAAATTTTACTAACTGTGGTCTAAATAAATGATAAATGAGCATATATTTATTAAAATCTTCGAAATCACGAGTGTGCCAATAGTGGAAGCCGTATCGACGACGAAATTGTCAGCACTTTATACAGTAAATAGTACAACGTTTAATGTACGATATATATTTATCTAAATGACATGCCAGCGAGGATCAACAATATAATTATTCGTACATATTTGGGTATCTTTTGTATGCCTTCGCTTGCTGACTTCCTCACTAATGAGAATAATCCGTGAAGCCACGACGACCTCAAAATGTACTATACTATAGTCTGATGTCAATCCGAAGACGAAGTTCAGAATACTGTTATAGTATTGAATTTAAGCGATAGATTTAAGTCATTTATGATAGACTTTTTTGCTGTGATGCTTTGCTATTGCTTTTGGTTTCCATTTCTAGTTTTATTTTTTCGATAGTCTTATAATATATAATATTAAAATGAATAAAGTCCAAATTCTTCAAAATGCTGTTGTTGACATTTGCTATTTTTAGTAATTTTGTCAACGAGTGTAAGCCAATCAGAAGCCTTCGTTTCTATACGAACGCCACTACCAAGAAAACCTATAGTTCCGTGCAGGCCCTCTATTCTTCGCGCCGCCCGTAACCCAGGGCCTGTTCGCAGGCTATATATTTTAGGATTATTAAAACATATATTATTATAATATTATAATATCTTTACCACAATTAAAGAAAATTCGTCAATCAAAGTTTGATTTGAGCAATTTAGACCAAGAAGCTGTCCAATATTAAAATATTTGCCGGTTGTTCTGTAACACCAGACACATGCAACCTGAGATTAATATGTAAGGTTCCTACCATACCACCTGCTTCACTTGTAGCTTTATACCAACTTGAACTGGTTGTAGTTTGTTAAATAGTTCAATATTGATAGCATGTAGGTGTATCTATCTTTAGTAGAATTTGTGCGATGATTTATTAAATTATTCAATAGGAATTTCAACTAGATTTTAGCTATCATTAAATTATGGATTTCGGTTCAACTGCATTTTTTCAGTCAGCCGGAAATTGATGTCATGACCTTTCATTATCATATTCGTATTTCCAAGTATTGTGAATAATCAAAGTGTTGTTATTGCAAAATCAATCCAAAGCGAAGGCGGAAGTGTTTAAAAACCTCGTCTGTTTCTTGTTCTCGATTTATTTGCTTTACAATGTGAGATAAATGTGTCGAAGAAAGATCATTGGTATCGAATCTTTAACTAGAAAATGACGCAATGTTTCTATGAGCTATGAAGCATGGCTTGCTGCCCGACCGAAGAGAAATATGGCTACGAAGACTGTCGATTTGAGAAAGATGTCGACGAAAATTTTCATTGTTCTATCTGCTACAATGTTCTTAAAGAACCAAGGACGTGTAGGAATAATGATCACATCTTTTGTCTTGCCTGCATCACTCAACATCTAAAGGTGAACTCTCAAACTTGTCCTGAATGTAATGAGCATTTGAACGTCGATACGCTTCGTCGGCCGCGTGTGTTGAGCAATTATTTGTCTAAACTAAAGATAAATTGTGATCATGCCAGTCGGGGATGCCCTGAGTTTACCTGTCTTGAAGATCTCAAAACTCACGTGGTGAATTGTGGCTATGCACCTGTGTTGTGTTCAAATGCAGAGTGTGGTATGGAGATTAACAAG